GATTTAATAGAAATAAATAATATATAATACAATTTATTAATATATATATATATATATATATATATATATATAGGTACGGGGCGAAGCGGGGGATGTGATACCCGTCCCCGTCTCCATCCCCGGTTTGAGCCAAACGGGGATCCCCGTCCCCGAGACCCGGTTTAACGGGGAATCCCGTCCCCGACGGGTCAAGGCCAATTCCCATGCCTAGTCGAGGGGGATCAGGGAATGCATTACCCGCCCTGTTTCCATCTCTAGGACAGAATGATAAAATATGCTTTGAAAATCATGCAAAAAATATGATTAATTTTCATGTAGCTGACATTTAGAGCATTTTTAACAAATTTTTCAAAAAACGAAGAAAAATACAGATTTTATATATGTACGGCAATTTATTTTACACCAATTAAATCTTTAAGAGCATCTTCAACAGATTCCCCAAAATTTCTCTAAAATGAAGAAGTAAAAGTCAAAATCACTAAAAAATTACAGTTATCTCCAACATATTTCTCATTTTGAAGAATCCAACATTAATTATAATATTAAAATATTTCATATATTTTATCATTTTCAAGTTTTTTTTTGTTTCTTGTGGTTTATCGAAAATAACACTTTTCGAAATTACAAAATGGTTATCATGGTTTGTAAAAACTTTCGGATTTGATTATTCTCTCTAAGGGTCATTAAAGAAATCTATTAAATGAGAAGCATTTTGTAACACCCCAAGATCACATTTGTATATAAACATATATTTTCATCTATTAAGAATATATAACTTTACACATTCGGTCCAAAATGTATACAAAAGCTACAATACAAAAGTAGCTACCAAATTTTTCCACCTATCTTAGTACAAAACTTGTATTCATAACAAGTATTCAAATACAAAAGATATCACAGGTTCCCAACATTTCATGCAAGCAAATATAAGTTCTTCACAACTTTTCATTTTCCTTTATCGTTTGATTGTGTCCGATCTGTAATGCACATTTTGAAATACAAATGAGAGTTAGACCTTAAGGTCTAGTGAGAAATCTCTTTGATTGCCATTACATGGTGAAAATCACCAAAACATATTTTTGAAAAATCCTTCATCAAAGATATCATAAAAATAAGATTTAATTTAACAAACCTTCTTTTGTCGCATCATAAAGATGAGATAACTCCATTTTATCGCATTGAACAACATAATAAACCATTTGTCGCATCAAACTCATAATACATCAACTTGTCGCATTAAATATATAAATGAACATATTTTGTCGCATCCAACTAATGCGATAAACCCAATTTGTCGCATCAAACACATGAGATAACCACCTTTGTCGCAAGGGGTGATGCGATAAACACACTTGTTGCATCTCAAAGATACGATAAACCAACTCATCGCATCAAGCACATGCGATGACCTCCGTTTGTCGCACAAACTGATGCGGTAACAGTAACTTGTCGCACCATAGAGATGCGATAAACTCATCATGTCGCACCACAAGGATGCGATATTCACAATTCATCGCATCACACTGATGCGATATAACCAACTCCTGTATGATGCGATAACAATATTCCATGATCAAAGATCATCATTTCCAGAAACTGATTACGTCACCCTTATACCAATATGCTCAGCTCTTGATTATGTCACTTCATTACAAAAATATATTCAACTGCTGATTATGTCACTCTTATTACCAAATATATCCAACTTCTGATTATGTCACCCTAATTACAAACAGATGATAATAACCTATCAAAATCCAAAATTATGTTAATAAATAGCATATAAACACCTTCAAATCTCAAGTATGAAACCATACGGTTTTTTCACCAAAAGCAAATCAAATGATACTTTTAAAATAAAACTCACCTTGAATTCACAAAGAGATGCAGATATGAAGATGAAAAATCAACAACAATTATCCCGAACAAGAATCATAGAAAACAACTTCTACTTTCTTCCCCTTCCGGTATCTGTTTCCTCGGGTCCAAAACACATCGAAAACTTCTTCTTCTTTTTTAATTCACTTATCATCCCAAAGAGATAAAATAATTATCTCACTTAATCAACCATATAATAATAAGAGGCCGTAAGGTTGATTTAAAATATTTTGAAAACATAATCAAATTAACCCCCTCAACTTTCCACCATTATTCGAAAACAACCCCAAACTTTATAACCGATAAACCCGGTTATCGTACATTTTTTTTATTAACCTGGATATTAAGAGACTTTCATGATATAATGTAAAATGAAATATAATTGTTTGGTAATTGTGTACAATAAAATTAGGACTCTTAATGGTTAAGGGAGATCCAAGATATAAAATCATTCAGATGGTTTTAGAACCATTAACAGGCAGACTATTTTTTTGCCAAACAAGATTCACCTCTTAACGATTCATAGGTTATCTTTTAATGAAACTATTAAGAGGTAAACAAACAGCCACTTAACTTCTTTCCCATTTGCATTGGGGCTTCACATAGGATTGAACAAATTGATCTTCAACTTAACTATGGATAACCTCTCCAAACAGAAAATGTTCGATGCTACTCTAGAAGCTCTTGGTGTTGCTGCTTTAGGGCTATTAGGGGTCGCTTACCAATCGGTAATCAGATAGGCGTTTATTAGGTAGGAGTTATCGCTCCAACTTATTTTACTTAGGGACCGTTAAATGTTTATTGGGTAAGCGTTTACCTGGGTAAGAGTCGTCATCCTCACTTAACGGATAAGAATCTCCATTCATTCTCATCGCTCTTACCCGGTAAGATTCTTGGCCCTTCTCATGTTCATCCGACCATGTAATGTATTTATTCATCAATTAAGTTTATGCACATTTTTCATATTTCGTGTGATGATGGGTAGTGGTCGTGGTTGGTGATGGTTGTGGTACCATCAATGGTTTTGTCTCCAAGGAAGAGGGATGGGGTATTAATTTTTTATTTTTTTAAGTAAAATATAAAAGTATTAAACATAATATGTAGAATATTTTTTATTAAATGTGAAAAAAAAAACCTAGGGAAATGATGAAAATACCATCACCTAACCAATTATTTTTAACGGATTAAGTAAGAGGGAACAAAAGCAGTAAAATATTATACAATGAAGTTTTCTATAATAACAAATTACCAAAAGATATTTGGTCTAATGGTATGTGAGTATTTGGCCTCTTAGGAGGTCAGGTGCTCGAATCCCACAAAATATGAAAAGGGTTGTGTGAGTTTATTTGTTCTATTTGCCGTATATAAATAATATATACTTAAGAAAAAAGTTGTAGGGACTGAATCCAAAACAAAATAAAAAATCATAAGAATCAAGTCACTGTGATTCGTATTTTGTCTTGAAATGGTCGTTTGCTAAGATCCATGAAAGAGGCGATTAAGTTAAGGACATTTTTGGTCATTTTATCTTTTCATAAAAAAAAATCAATGTACAAATAAATGAAGTATGCATACATATGTGATTAATATAAATAGGTAAAAAAAAATGTGAACAGTTCCCCCTCTCCACCTCCCTTTTTTTCTCTTTTCCGATGACCATGTGTTTATTTTTTCCGACAACTATAAACACGACACTAAACACAACATAACGTAAATAAAAAAATCAAATCCATAACTACACTAAGCATACACTGGATTCTACCTCTGAATGAGTTACTCCATAACTCAAACCCTTCCTTGATCAACCCTCATCTCTGACACTCTCTTACCCTTATCCCCAGACCCATGGTTTTCCTCTTGTGCGAGCATAAATGGTCCAAATCCATCAAAGTAATAAATACATTGTGTACCACAAATGCTCAAACCAACATATACAATCCATCACGTATCCCAAGGAATTATCCAAATAAGAAATAACTTATCAAGTAAATATATGCAAAAAGATGACTTTCATCCATCGCGACATTGATCCAATAATCAAAAATTCCAACCTCAACAAAGATTGTGTAGAACACAAAAATGATTATGAAATCAGAAGTTTCATGGATAGGAGATTTTTTGCACTTCAATATTGATAGAGCAAGTGAGTGTTGAATACTTGAGGACTCGCAAAATATATTCCCTTGTATGTGTAGCAAACAAGTTGCAGAAGCATTCAAACTTTTGTACATAAAGTTAAAAGTTGCATGAATCAATCCAATATATTGCAAGGACGTCCTGTTTGACAAACATTATCATATTTTAGATTAACTATTCCGAACTTGTTTCACACTTTAATGCACTAAATAAAAGAATCATCAAAAAGCCAACATGATATTGATTATTAAGTTGTTACATCACCAAATATCATTGAAAAGGAAAAAAGCAAATACTATAATTAATATGACTTCTTGTATGTAAGACATGGGATGATGCATTATTCATCTTGTGTGAAGTATCGTGCAAAAAGGAAAGTTGAGATGTGAAGCGTAAGAAAAGATCTGGACATTTGATCATATTTTACCTCAAATCCACTCATGAATCGTGTTTGATACAGGGATTGATCCAATGTATCTCATCCTAATATGCATCCAATGGTGAAAATCTCTTCTTACATTTCTCAGCTTAACTCTCCTTCTCACCGGAACCCAACTCATTGATCTCATTCCTTAAATATTTGGAGTTCAAACTTAATATTAATTTATGAAATAGCATAAAAAATGAACAAGTTTAGGGGCTTGGGCCTCCTAAGACCATTTCCGGTGAGAGGAAATAAGGGTTCAGACTTTTCTAGGGCTCCGCCAGGCTGTGCTTTCTTTGATCAAGCATTTCAGGGCCGAACATTTTTGGGCCTTTTCGAACTTAAAATGGTTTTTCAAGACACTTTCAGTTTCAGGTCAGGCTGTTTCAAGCCGATATTCCCACAGCCTGATCAGACTTCGACGATAGGCCCAAACCAGACTTGGAGCTTGGACTTTTTTGCGTGCATCTTTATATGAAATTGGGAACATCCTGCTTAGAATATTGGGATCAGATACACCATTCCATGCTGGTCTATTCATCAAAATTCATGGAAATAGAAATAGACCATTACCATATGATTCATTCATTTAGTGTCAGGAAAATTTTCTAATTGCTCATGGTTTTCAACGTCGTACACAAATTCAAGCCACCAAACATATGGAGCTAGCTACAAAAGCAATAAACTTTCGAGCAACAACACATCACCTAGAAAATCTTGAACAGGAGACCTCCATGGGTGGCAAAAAATGGAGCAAACACAAGCGATTCTACAGCCATCAGTTTAATCAGGATGTTCAGCGACGGTCCTGATGTGTCCTTTAACGGGTCCCCAACCGTGTCACCGATCACAGCCGCCTTGTGTGCGTCCGACCCTTTTGGTCCAAGTGTCCTTGCATGCTCTGAAGCACCAGCCTGAACAACTTCCATTCATCACAACCATAAACAAACCCAATATACTCCGCCCCAAAGCAGCATCTTGGAGATCAGATTTAACAAAAATCAAGAAAAGAGTGTTCTTATGACAGATATACCTCGATATATTTCTTTGCATTGTCCCAAGCACCTCCAGTGTTGGATGCAGAGATAGCAATCTGCATTATATCGTCAGAAACAATTGGTTTAGTAATAAAATACCCCTCAAGATGAATACTTATTGTAATTTTAGCGGGGTACCTGTACGCCAGAGACGAGAGATCCAGCAAGGACGCCTGAAAGTGTTTCAACGCCAAAGAAAATCCCGACAATGAGGGGAGTGAGCATAACAAGAGCACCAGGAGGAATCATCTCTTTAATGGAGGCATCGGTGGAGATCTTGACACAAGTGGCATAGTCAGGCTTAGCAGTGCCTTCCATGAGGCCAGGGATGGTGTTGAATTGCCTGCGGACTTCCTCAACCATCTTAAGAGCTGCGCTTCCCACACTCTTCATTGTCATGGCCGAGAACCAGTAAGGAAGCATGGCACCCACGATTAAACCAATGAAGACTTTTGGGGTCAACACATCTACAGTTGTGATTTCAGCCCTGCTTACAAATGCACCGAATAGGGCCAGGGATACAAGGGCTGCAGACCCTATAGCAAACCCCTGAAGAAAAGAAAAAAAACCCATAAGATCTCAACATAATGAGAAAGAGGAGAAAAAAGGTGGAAGAAAAGGTTTTGCAACCAAAGTGTCATTGGCCCAACCTTTTCTAGAGTCAATAGTTCAAGCCTAACCAAAGGTGTGGAGTGTGTGAGTTTTGCCATACATAAATATCACCAAACCAAACCAATCCAAACAAACCCATGTATAAATATCCTACCCAAATGCTGGGTCGAGGGTGGGAGTGGTGAGATGTAGGTATACCTGTCCTCTACCCTAAAGAGTATAGCAGTTGTTTCTGTGAAGACCCCCGGCTTTGTGAATAGTGTGGGGAAATTGTGTAAAAAGAACATTTGGGAAAGAACTTGAAAACAAGAAAGGCAGTGTTGTATATTTATAAAAGAGGTTTTGCAGATTGATGGATGTACCTTTCCAATGGCAGCAGTGGTGTTTCCAGCAGCATCAAGGGCATCGGTTCTTTCACGAATGCGGTGGCTCATCCCCGCCATTTCAGCTATGCCACCAGCGTTGTCACTGATGGGACCATATGCATCAATGGCCAATCCAGTGGCTATGGTGCTCAGCATACCAAGAGCGGCTACAGCGACTCCATACATGGCAGCAAAGGTAAAACTAACAAAAATACTGACTGCTATTGCGAAAATGGGGATGATTACTGACTTATATCCTAAAGCAAGACCAAAAATGACATTTGTAGCAGCTCCAGTACGGCAAGAATCAGCAACATCTTGCACAGGGCTAAAAAGATACAGCAGAGTTAATCATAACCAATCCTTAACAAACAATACAAGAGTTGACAAATTAAAAACAAAGAAACTCCTACCTGTAAGCATTGCTAGTGTAGTATTCTGTTACGAATCCAATTATAAGGCCAGCCCATAAACCAACACCAACACATAAGAACAATTGCCTGCAAAACCAAATCAGTAAGTTTACATATACCCTTTTCATTCGACATCATGTGGAAGGATGGTCAATTAAGTAAATTCACAAATCACTGAATACAAATGGTGATATGAAGAGCACAAAGTTAAAATGTTGAGCTTACCAGTTCTTAACTTCCTTCTGGACTCCAAAATTGAAGATGGTGAAGGAGTTAGGAAGGGCAATCCAACTTATGAGTGCTATACCAATTGTCATCAGAACAGTGGATATAATAAGTTGGTTTTTCAAAGCAGGCTCGATTTCCTTAACAGTTTTGACTTCAAAAAAATCAGTGGCAAAGAGGGTGGTGAGCAAACAAACAAGGACACCGATAGAGCTGATGAGGAGAGGATACATCATTGCTGTAAATTCATGATTGTTCCCAAATGAGGAGATGGAAGCAACCACGAGTGCAGCACAGGAGGACTCTGCATATGAGCCAAAGAGATCAGATCCCATACCCGCAATATCCCCAACATTGTCACCAACATTGTCAGCAATGACCTGCAGCATATTCACCACTTCAGCTGATAAAGAAAAACCACAAAAAAAAGGACCAAAAAGAGACAAAAAAGAAAGGACCAAAAAGAGACAAAAAAAAAAGGATGAGTTAATCACTGTTTAGGATTCCAAACACTTTCTCAGCCAGACCTCTTTCAAGTTCACTCGCCTGAATGAATCTTAATGGGTGTGCTTTCCCATTTACATATCATCCATAAGTGCAAGTATGGCCGGATAAGTGCCTCTTAATTCAACACTTCATTGTCAGTTTATTTTTAGGTTAATCACCAAAATCATAATGTACTATTGGCCAAATGGATGATTTCATATTGTATCGCGGTAAAACTTAGACAACAACTTGACATGTCAAATAATATGCACAAGCATTCTAGCATGATAAATAAGCAACATGGCACCAAAACATTTTTCTAGTCAACATTGAAAGAATTATTTGTCAACTTGGTTGATCACCATCGTTATCTGTCGAAATTTGCAATGGCTCATAGCTTTTTGGGGGTATTCCCCCTCTGAAAGATGCAATCCACCGCCGGCCTACAATCTTACCAAAAATATATATAAAAATAGAAAGAGAAAAAAAAAGTTACCGCTGGATTTCTTGGATCATCTTCAGGGATGTTCCTCTCGACCTTGCCAACAAGATCAGCTCCAACATCAGCAGCCTTTGTATAGATACCACCAGCAACTCTGCCAAAAAGGGCCATGGAAGAACCACCGAGTCCATAACCAGTTATAGCCTCAAAAAGCCCTTCCCAGTCATTGCCGTAGTAGATCTTGAAGAGGTTGATGGTGATATACAAGACAAGGAGACCATTTGCAGCTAGGAGGAAACCCATAACGGCTCCAGAACGGAATGCAACAATAAAAGCCTTTCCAACACCTTTTCTTGCCTCTAGTGTAGTTCTGGCATTTGCATATGTGGCAATTTTCATTCCAAGAAAACCAGATATGACTGAGGTTACAGACCCAAGCACAAACGATACACTGGTGAAGATAGCAGTGAAGAGAGCAGGCTTGCACTGCTTGGTGCTGTCATATGTGCATTGTTGGCTACTGGTACTGAATCCATCAACGGAACCAAGGAACACAAAGATCAAAACCGCAAAAGCAATCATGAAAACACCAACATATTGGTATTCAGTGAATAGGAAAGAGGTTGCTCCTGCAATATGAACAGTGTATCACATTAGAGCACACAAATTATGAAGTAATAATCACTAAAGTTCTCAAAAGAAGGGAAAATATTAAGACCACGTTCAAATTTCTATAATTTCTTGATACAAGTTATAATACGATTCTTTACAAGTTATAAAATCATAAGAACAACTCCCTACAAGATTTGTGGTTTTTCTGAAAGAATAAGTTGTTCAATATGTACTTAATTATCACAATGAGAAATTAAACCATGAATGATCCATTTGTTGAAATTTCAAAGGATATATCTAATGCACTATGTTGAAGTACACAGGTGAGGATACGAGTTATACAAAAATGCATTCATATACGATCGGGTCTGTACTTGCAAGTCTAAAATAAAACCAATAAATGGAAGAATTATCTCATAGTTCACACATTAACAATATACCATAAACACGCATTTACGCTTAACTCTTATCCTGTTTTAACTTATTTTGCACCATGTTAGTCAACCATTGAGGATAAAGATCTCATAATTTGTGAATGTTTAATTCTCTTTTAAGCAGTTTGGCAAGTGCCAGAACTCAGAAGTCAGAAGCACCTCTCCTTCCTAATTTTGATGACTTTTGTATCCCTTTTTCAAACTCAAATACTTTTCAACTTATGTGTTCATACAAGTAACAAATTAGATTCAAAGGAGCATAGTTTATTGGTTAATACTAAACAATAAGATAAAGAAAATTGACCTTTTAACAACAAAGTCAAGATGTAAGATCTAAATTCTGATCCATGATAGTAACAATTCCTATAAAATGGGTAAGAAACTCAAACAAGGCTATCAACTTCATCTTTAATCATGAAATATACTTGTTAAAGAATCAGATCTACGACTAAATCAGATGCTCTTACATGTCGAATTAAAGTAATGACCATAACTAGAAGTTCCTACCAACATCTAAACACCAAGATCATGGAGGCATCAACAACAGGGATCAATCAGCATCTTAATAAAATGCGTCAAAAACAGTTTATGACACTATGGATGCCAGGTTCAGAAAGAATATTCATTAAAAAATTAAAAATGACAACAGATTAGCAGTCAAATTATATGTTCTATTATTGCAAAATTCAAGTATACAAACTTGAATTTAATTATAGATCCACACGTACATATAGATAAACATATACTTGAATCAATCAAACAACATCACTATTACAATTAAGAATAATAACTATAAATCAAGCAGACAAAATAAACTTCAAGTCAAACAAATACGATGGAGATAAAAAAAAATTATATGCTATAAACTATGATGACAAGTACAGGAGAAGCCACAGCGACAATTTAAAGTTAAAAAGCAATTCTTATTCATGGAAAGAGTTACTGTTACTAGTATCAAATGATAAACAGGAAGAATATTCCAATTATGGAATTAAAAGAGCATCAAATAAACCAGAACACTCAAACTTCAACTCATCGGTGCGTGAAGATCACCAATGATTCATAACAAGCTTCAAATTATCGGTAATACAGAAAACCAGAATTGCAAGGATAATATGTTAAAGAGATTCATAACTCATGATTTGAATTTTCACGATTTGATTTCACAAAACATAGAGATCTAATAAGAACTATAATTTATAATTACCTTCAGAGATAGCGTTCTGAATTTCAGCACATTTCTGAACAACGTTGTGGTCGTTGATTCCTTCTTCTTCCTCAATCAACGACTCCGTAAACACATTCTTTCCATCCGGTTTATCCAGCGAGAGCTTCACTTTTGAGACGAGAAACCACTGGAATAGAGAGAATCCAATTCCGATGACAGCGCAAATTGGTATTAGGATTTCGGTGCCGAGATCTGAAAGAATTGTTGGCGTCCCCATGACCTTGTGGCGGAGGACGGCGGAGCTCCGACGATAACAAAATCGGAGAAAGGGAAAACGAAACTAACTAAAACAGTGAAAGAGGGTTTAATTTCTTGGTGTTGTGTGTGGCAATGAAGCTGCGGCCTCGGATGATATATAGAGATGGTTTTTAGCCTCTCTCTGTGTATATATATAGGTGCGTATGTATCTATAGAGAGAGAAATAGGTGGTGATTTGATGATGAGAGAGACGATTGGGTGCATGAATTTTGTGTTATTTTTTTTTTCTAACAAATTTACGGTTATAATCCAATTTATTGTTAGATGTAATGTAACACACATCGTGTTGGAGAATAATTCATTTTATTTTTATTTATATTTTACTAGAAAAGTACTTACATAATGCATCGAGACATATCTCGATTTTAATATTTTATTTTATTATTTATCTGTATCGATGTTATAATACGATTTTATGTATTTTTAAGAAAGAAATAATGATTTTATTTTTGAATAAAATATAAATTTGAAAATATCATAAAATTTTTAAAAAATATATATCAATGTTAATATCAAATTAACTATTTAAAAATTCTATTTTTTATGTAATTTATTTTTTTATTATAATTTAATTTAAATTTAATAATGAAATTTTTAATTTAATAATATAACATTTTATAAATATAATAATTAAGTATTATGTTAGAACTCAATGATTATCCTAATTATATTTTAGATTTTTTATATTTAAAATGAGATATTTATTCTGTATTTGATTATGTTTATATGCAGTTAGTTACACGAATTTAGATATAGAGCTTTAATAAGTTGTACTTGCGCACAATCTACTTGCAATCTTGAGTTTTAAGTAATATGCATTAAAAACAGTACTTTACGCATAAAAATGGTTTTTAAAAGTTTTTGTCAAATGTTTTATAATATATTTATATTTTATATGAAAATTATTTTTACTCAAATATTTATCCGGTAAAAAGCTATTTGTATGTGTTTAATACTCAAATTTAATTTATCGGGTAAGATAACTAATCAGTAACACTTATTAGATAAATATCTTAATATTAAATATTTTAAATAAAAGGTAATGTTAGGGATTGTGTGTTTACCTCTTAATAATTCTTTTAAGAGACAACCCTTGAATCACTAATAAATCTTGTTTGGCAAAAAAAATTGTCTTTTAATTGTTCTAAAACTCTCTGAATGATTTTGTATCTTGGGTCTCATTTAACCGTTCAGCGGCCTAATTTTATTGTAAACGTTTACCAAACAATTACATTTCATTTTGCATTATATCGTAAGAGCCTCTTAATCATTCCGACCACTTAATCATTTAGCACCAAACCATTCATCAACTACCAAACAACCCATTTGTAAACGCCCGTAAATCACTTAAAATATTTTTAAATAAAAAATGATACATTTAAGTTTTTATATATTTTTTCTAAAATAAAGAATTAAAAATTAAAATATTTAAAAAGAATTACATTCAACTCCAACAATTCTTTATTTAAAAGGTTTCAACATAAACTGTATTATTATAATATTCTTTAATCTTATCATCCTAATAAACTTAAAAATATATATATATATATATATATAATAATTCAATGTCATTAGTGAAATTGAATAAAATAATTATTTCTATCTTCCTACATCAAGTTTTAAATAATCCTCTAAACTTGAAAAAATTTCATGTTTTCTGTATTTTAAAGAATATAACAGAGAATTTGTTGGAGCAATACAGAGAACAAAATCTTCATTTTCTCTATTTTTAGAGAATCTGTTAAAGATGCTCTATGTATAGACCTATGAAGGGCCCAGTAGTCTCTCGAGTATCTATTCAACCGATTTCATATGTACAGTTCTTTTTTCTTATGTAAGGTGCACATACCAAACCTTGAGTGGTGTTTCGGGATATTAGAAAACACATGAGACATCAATCAGAAAATCCCTCGAAATCAAAAAACTTCAAATTATCTCTCGAAACAGTGAAATTCGATTAAAAACAAATCGAGGCACTTTGTAGGTCTTTGAATCACTCTAAAGATACATCAACTCACCAAAAATCTCAGATCCAGAAACGGTTCTCTTGACTGAATAAAAATTAGTATACCAGTGTTTTTTAATTGCATCATATATTGAGTTTATAAAAATAACTTTCCCAAACTAAAATCAGAGTAAAATTATCAGATATGTTTATGTAAATCATTATATAAAAGTCTATTTTTAATTCAAAAGTAATACCCAAATTTTAAAATAATGTATTTAAAGATAAAAATAGAAAGCAAATGAAACAAAAATGAAATACACATGTAGACAAATTGGATATCTACCATTAAAAATGCAAAACTCCCTTTAATATAATTATTGTTTTTTAAAAAGTGATGAAGTCTGATTTCACTTCTAATTTATAAGAGATTGTTCTGAAGTCCGAAATTTGGGTCAGTAAGATTATTTGTTTTTACGTCTGAAATCTAAATCGATCAAACTAGTACAAAAATATAAGAGATAAATAGTTTTTACTAACATATCTTTTCCGGCCCAAAAAATATGAACCTTTTGATAGAGGGTAGATTATGATTAAGAAATCCGTTTACCACTTAAAATTTTAGAGGACATTTAGAGCTTTTAAGCTCTTATTTTATAAATAAAACAAACGCTCATAATACCCAAACGTCTGAACAAATCAGACTTCAGATGTATTAAGAGGTAATTTTGAAAAAAACAAACATGCCCTAAATAAAATCTCGATTCTATATTATCATTTATAATGTGAATTTTCGATTGGGTGGAAAAGATTTCATTCTATAAACCAAAAATAAAACTAAAACCCGATATAAAATTACATTAGAAAAAATAAAATGTACTTTCTGTTATGTACTACATTTTGTTTATGCACTCTTTGGGAAGCGATAGGTTGTAACACTGGTTGTACCTCAAAACCTCTGAGTTCAGTTACGTTATATTTACATGTGTTTGATGCTATTTCGTGAACCGAATGTGTCTTTCATCCATGTGCGATGTCGAGGTTCAGCTCTTTTATATCATATTGGAGTCTGAGTATTTTACTTTTAATTATGGTATAAATTTATATATTACTAACATTGTATTTATCAATTTTTTCAGTATTTTTTCAAAATTAAAGAAATATTTTTTTTATTAACCTGGATATCCAATCCGTCATGCGAGCCGACTAATTCCAGGACGACTATCTATTTTGCAGATAGCCCGGAGTCACCGCATTTGAACCTCTGTGGCCATAAGAGGATTTTTATTCCTTCTTAGATTTGAACTTAGGACATTTTGGTACTTTTGACTTTTGGAGCCAAACTCAAACCAATCAGACACCATCCTTGTGCTTTAGAGAAATAAATTGAAAAACATATATTCATTTTTTTCTTGATTTTGAAGAGCTTTATAGAAGTAAAAAACTACCAAGAGGTTTAAACCTTACCAAAGGTGAGGGGAGTGTGAGTTTATTTGTTATATTTATTGTATGAAAATATTATATATTTTAAATAAATTATAAATCTTTATTGTATCTATTTCAAAGGTTATATTGAAGATATTATTATATAAATAAAAATAAGAAAATTTTAATTATATATAAATTTAAAAAATAAATAATACAACATAATTGATGAAAGTAACGACGTGTCAGTTGTGGATGGGTTCGCCAAGTGCCAACGTTATCTTCAAATAGACACCAAACACCATAAATCCAAGACGACGACGTATAAGACTACATGATTACTTATTTTGTCGTTTTTGAGTTCCCAATTTCTGCCGCAAGTTAATCAATAAATAATACCATATTCCTCTTAAAATCATCTCATAATTAAGTAAAAAAGTTAAAATATTTATTAATACAAAACAAATAATTTTTTTTTTTTTTTTTTTTGCTGTTTAACAGTTGATGAATAATTTAGTGCATAATAATTAAGTAGTCAGAATGATTAAAAGGCTCTTGTGATGTAGTGCAAAATAAAATATAATTGTTTGGTAATTGTTTACAATGAAATTAGGACGCTTAATGATTAAACAAAATCATTCAGATGGTTTTAAAACCATTAAGAGACATATTTTTTTGTCAAACAAGATTCACCTTTTAACGATTCAAAGTCTACCTCTTAATGTAACTATTAAGAGATAAACAAACAACCCCTAAATCTTGTATCAGCCAAGTTATATGTCTGAATAAACTTGTTTGTTTAAGATATAGGAGATTTATAAACTGTTTGACTATTTATGGGGTATTTTCTGGTATTAATTTGTTTGATGTATCTTGATGGCAACAAATGAAAGGTCTTGTCTTATTTTTCCTTTTAAAGTATATGACATTTATATACGATAAATAGAACAAATACACTCGTACATCCTTCTCATCTTTGATGATGTTTGAACCTCTGACCTTCTTATTTCATATAACCATTTCGACTTAACAATTAAGTCATAAAAAAACACTGGTATATAACAGAATGAGTACACAGCTCGTATCATTAAGCTCATTAAATTGTAAACAGACAACTCATTCTATTTTTGATAAACTTTTCAAAATAGATAATGAAGTGACATTTAGAGCGAATAAAGAAAATATCCAAAAGAATAAAATAATAGGGAGGTGAAGTGTCATATCGGGATAAGTGTTGGGTAGAAAACGTATTTTAGACGCCTAATCCTTGGTGACCAAATCAACTACTACTACTTTCCACTTTTTTAACTTTCGCCCCTCCAACTTTCACTTTTTTTGCATTTTTGTTTGGTTGGGAATTTTTTTTTTTTAAGTATATAATATTTATATACGACAAATACAACAAATAAACTCACACACTCTCCTCACCTATGGTAAGGTTTGAACCTTTGACATCCTAAAAAGCCAAGGACTACGATACCGTTAGGGTAAAGGTACTTTGATTTGGTTGGGAAAAGTTGATGTTAATATTCTTTCACAAATTATTAATATGGACAATTATAGCCGTGGTCCCACATAAATATGTCATTTTTTTTGCTTATTCATGCTTTTAATAAACAACTAATCAATGGTCGTGTAATGATGTTTGTTGAACGTCTATTCATACCTGTTAAAAATGATAGTTGATGAGTATACATGAATCATTATATATGGGCATTTTAGTCTTTTTAAATATATGTATGTATTAGTTAATGAAAACACGTTTAAAATCAAG